TAACTAAGAATGTTGACAAGGCTCCTCGCGGCTATTGAACTCGGGGCTTTAACGAGCCCCGCTCTTGTTTTTGTATTTCTTGTAAGTGATGCGCTTTGATAGAGGTCGAAAATAAATCCAGACTTGTTAATCGATTGCGAGATCATGTTTTACTCGTATGCTCGATGTAATTAAGGCGATCGGTCGCTAACTTGGGGCGAGTTGCTGTACCGACTTTAGTATGAGATTACTGAGATATGTGATACCTTAATTGAATGTAGATGTATTTCATTTAATATGCGGTGAATTAATTGAACGTTACGTAGGAGATATATGTACTTGATTTCATGCGGTGTATCAGTCTCCTTGTGAGTGACTTTTAATTTAACGCACTTAGGTTTTAAGCAATGTTCGCTCAAAGTGCAACGACCTCCTGGAAAATATATGACCTGGTGCACAAATAAACGCCTGTTAATTATCCCGAATGTTTCGCAGAGTTACAAGCGGTGGACAAATGCGCTTTCCAATTAAATCAACGAGTTCAACCACCTTAATGCATGCTCATTAAACCTGGGGTAAATCCGCGAACACGAGCGGCGCCATTGGGTGTCTACAAAGTTGCATGCTAATCGCGACAACTCGTTTTGATTGCAATAACGTCGATGCTATATACTCCCTCGGAAATTCTTGGGTATCCCTTCCCAAAAAATATCTTCTCCCGCGGGATGTTGCTAAAAAGGCTCGTAAAACTTTCTCCTCGGGTTCGCGAGGAAAGGGTGAGGCAGAAAAGGCCGAGCGTTTAAACGGACACGAAAGTCGGGGGAAAAAGAAAGGGTTCGAGAAAGCAGCCTGACAATGACAACTACGGGGATTAGAAAGTTCCTTAAAAAAGGGTTGGTGGGGCCGCTGGAAGGGGCGAGTTTTCACGTTTCGGATTCCGGCCGAGGGCTAAAATTTCACTTAGTTTTTCCAAAACCGCCTCGGCGAGTCGAGTCCTCCGAGTCCGTCCTTCTTTATAACTCGGATCCGTAGTGGCAGGTAAAGTCGATTACTTTATAGTGTCTTGTAAAACGGTTTTATGCCCTATGTAATCCCCGACATTGCCGCGCGCCTCGCAGCCGAGGGTGCCGTCGTTGTAGCTTCCTTGGGGTCCTCGAATTATTCACCGGAAGTGTCTTCGAATCGTGGCTAGAAATTTTCAAATTTCACCCAGTCGCTGAAATATTTCTTCTATCCCGTTTTTTTTTTCCTTCAATTTATCAGCGCTGGGGAAATTTAGGGTACACCCTTACAACCTGAAGAAATTAATCTCGAGGGAGGTACCCTTGTCTGTGCCATATTGTTAGGTCTCATAACGCGTTAACGATATTTCCCGGGTACCTGTAAAATTATATATTGTCCCGCAAGTTGCGGCAACCTATACCATGTAGGACGATCGTATAAGTATAGATTACGTGCTCCACTCGAAGAAACAAGGATAGCAGGGATTCCAACAAAGTGCAGCAGTCGTCCGGCTTTACGACGCAAGTCGCCCGTTTATTATTTAAACCTATTCCGTGCGAGGTTAATAATTCCCTCGGATGGCTGGGAGATTGTCTGGACTCCCTGTCGATGGATTCTTCTTTTTATTTTTTTTCCCTTCATTCTATTCGCTTGAATTTTTAATTAATTTCGTCATTTGAAGGCGCGCTCGAAGCCTTCCCGATGTTTTCGAAATCGATGTTGCACTTCGGTGCAACGCGGATTAACGTTTTCGTTCGGTGCGCGGCTTGATTCATGTCCGATGGGCATGCGCGAACGTAAATATAAATGAAAGGTTCAAACGAGAGCGTTCTCGCAACGAGGCGCGTCTGGGGCGAACACTCGAGTTTAAATCACTCGATTATATTTTTGCATGCGCGGCCGGGAAAAGTCCGATGCAGATCTCGGAAATATTTCCCCGCCGAGAATAGCTCAAAGTTGCGGTCTATCGAGCGCCGAGAAATCCATGCCTGACGAAAAAATCCCGGGAAATTATTCCGCGCTCCGGTATTAATTCCTACCCGTCGTATCGTATTTATTTACCATTTAATTTACTACCTAGACCGCGGTTATTAATTGACGCAACATCCGCGAGCCTCGTAGACGGAGTTTAAATGTCGATTGCGCAAGGCCGACTTTTCGCTTTTTCACCTTTCCGCCAGGCCCGTCGAATTTACTCACCGGTTAATCGGATTGCCGGCCCGTAAATACCCTGCGAATGTACACCGAGATTTCTTTTCCACCTTGATCATCCTCGAGATACGCAGAAATTCAAGTAGGAAATGTCCGCCCGTGTCGGCGTTCGAAACGGTGACATAACGCCTGCAGTTAATCGACCATACAGAAGATGTCCTTACGGTCGAATAATATTTTCGGAAAGTCCTGGCAACAGTTTCGAGCTACTCTTCAATATTTTCAGAACCGGCACGTACCGGCATCGAGTTCCTGGTAATATTTCCACGAAACCGGAAGACACGTTCAATATTATCTCGTATCCAAATTCAACATTTCCCCCATAAATATCTTTCGACAGCTCGCTCAAAGTTAAGCCATCCCAGTCCTCGAGATCTAGAAAACTCGGAACCGAGGTCTTGCATCGCGTCTAAACACGCGTCTCGATTTTCAAAAGAAGGATAAAAAAAAGAACTCCCCAATAACTCTCGGCCCGTGTCAAATTGTCCCACAACACGGAGTCGGGTTTCGAGAATCCAAATGAGAGCCCCTGCGCGCGTCGTTTCAACACGCCCGGTAGATGGGTCTGAAATCGCTGATATCAGGAAGAAAGAGCGAGAGACCAAGAGCGAGCGCCCCCTCTGATGCTCTCCCTCGCACCCTGCGATCCCGCATCGCCTCGTCGCAGTCTTCCCGGGTCGCTCCGTCCCCCTCGTACCTGCTCAACCCCCATCGCTGTGTCTCTCTCCCTCGCCCGCAAAGTGAACGGGCAAGAGAAAGCGAGCGCTCTCTGCATCTTTCTCCCCCCCATTGAGTTCACCCCGGGCAGAGAGAGAAAGAGGAGGCGAGCGAGAAGCGGCCGGAGCAGACGGAGATGCGGGCGCCTCTCGTCCAATGAGTCGCCGTCCTTTTGGTGACCCAACCCTCGAGCAACATGGCCGCCACGTGCGAAGGGAGCTTAAATAAGGGTTAGGTTAGTTTAGTCCCGGCGAGGGGAGGGCCGGCGGCCATGATGGGATGCCGCGGGCTAGGAAATGCAACTCGAAACTGGCTGGAAGAGGCCTCCTGCCCTTTCCACGTCCCCTCGGCCGCGCCCGGGAACGGCACGGATTAGTCGCGAGCCTAGACGTGCCTATCTCGACGTACCTGAACGTACTTAACGCGCCTAAAACGTGCCTAACCGCGCCCAGACGAGACGGCCGACGTCGATTAGACTCGTTAGCGAGGCCCCTGTGGAGACTCCGTCGTAAGTCTCCTCTAAAGACGTTTCCTATCTCGCGCCTATCCCGGCTTAGGGGAACGACTTCCCCGGGAATTTCTAAGAGATGTCCCGGGATCCCCTGGATCTCCTCCCGAGACGGCCCTCTAAGTGAATATCGGAGCGTCGATGCTGCTCGTAATCTCGACGGCTTCGTCTGCGTCTCGGCGGCCATCTTGGAAAGCGTTCGGCAACCCGTTCGTGCCGCCGCGCGACTCGATAGAGAGCTTACATTTTTCCGCGGGGTTTTCGCGCGGACGGATCTAGATTGCGAAATTGACCCGTAAAATATATCGTTAACCCGCCGGGGCTCGCGTTCTACTCGGGAAAACAACGGAACGAACGAGCGCTTAAGAGGGGGCCTTCGAGCCACCGAGTCGTCGTTAATTGGGGCACTTTTCACGCGAAATTACCGCGCACACCCCGGATTGCGGAACGACGCCGGCGGATCGGCCGCTTCCCCGAAGGGAGACCTTCTTGAGGCGGCTGAAAGACGCGGAGCGTAAAAATGTGTGCAAAGGGTTCCGACCGGGGGACTTTACGACCTCGGAATCGTGAGAAGGCCCTCTGAAAAAGAAACACCCGCGACCGTAGTCGCGTAAAAACCACTCCAACTGCCCTCGATATTAGCCTAAAGACGAGACACCCGCGTTTAAAAAATACTTCTTCCCTTCTTTCAATTGTACCAATTTGGAATGCTCCCAACGACGTCCTAATAACCCTCCTCCTTCTTTGCCAGCAATTAAGTTTCTCTTAAACAGTCGAGTTTAAATCGTGGAGCCGATAAAACGCGTATAAATAAGTATAAACTCTTCGGCCGTCCCGGCGAAGAAAGTTCTCCATAATGGCGGCGCACAATGAGGACCAATCAAGCGAGCTCTTTGATCGCTTGCCGCAGATTCAACCGAGGACGAGGTTGCATTCCGTGTTAATCCCAGGCCAAATGGCCTGTAGCTTCGCCGCTGCTTTACAGGACCTTAAGATAAAGCCCTCCCGTTAACCCATCATCGGTTAAATTGATTTCCAGCCGGCCGCGGTCGTCGCGCTCCTCCGACGTCGCTCTAGACAGTGTTGCGGCGAAACCCATGACCGAATCTGGAGCGGCGTCTCCGTCGTCCCAACGTTCCCTTCGGTAAATAAACGCTCTGAAATAGCTCTACAAGGGCTCTTTCATCCCGACGCTCCCCAGCGGCGACTTCTTTCGTCTCGGCCAACGACTCGAGGAGACCTTCGGGGTCTCGTTGCTCGTTACTTATTAGCCATCGCGAGGTCTCGTTACTTTTCGTTCCCGGGTTTTTAGACCGGCCGAAAAGACCGATCGAGCCTACGCCTACAGGGCGCCGTAAAGTTCCTTTTACCTAGCCGTATTTACCATCCCGGTACGCGATTTATCGCACGTACCGCGGCCGATTTACACGTCGCACCCCTTCGGACAAAATACCGACAACGGTAATGGATTTTACGCCGGGCTTCGGAATCGCCTTCTTCGATAAATCCGGACAACGCGGCCGAGCGGCTCTTGGCACGCGGTGCGGTCCGGGCACGTTTCTTAAACGCTAATCCAACTCACCGGTGCAGCAGACGGCGGCGGCCCGGCATTTTGCCAGTAATCTGAAACAGGAAAAACTCAAGTTACGTATCGAGTGTTGCAAGGATTTAGAGCGAGCATTGTCTGAAAAACATTGTTAAATGGAGATTTAGGGGATTTTAATGATTCCAGTGACAGGGCCTCGAGTTGTTAGATTTGGGGGATTTTTTTTTATCAGATGAGTTGATCCAGCATCGTCACGGGAGGAAGGGCTTCATTTTGAGGATTAATCGGGGCACGTAGGTATGGATACGTAGGAATGGGGAACGCAAAGTCGAGGAAAGTTAGAGGGGTTGAAACGCATTCCTTTAACACCTTGAAACATTGCAGCAGCCGCCGAGCATTCGCAGCGAGAACGTCCATCGCGTGGAGTTGGCAAACTCTTTCCCCATTATACTTGCAAATAGTCGGCCGACCGAAGTCAAACCCCGCGACTATGTAAATGAAATAATTCCCGCGTCAGCTGGGAAATAAGAAGCGACAGGGCGCATCACTCTCCTCTCGGAGGAATTCTCAGCCGTGAGAAAATGGCCGCGAGTCTCGCCTCGGCTAACCGACCTGAAAAGGAAAAACTAGCGACACGATGAGTTTTTTAAGCATTCTGTTAAAGGGGGTAAACCTGGCGAAAAAGAAATAACTTGCTGATGATTCTTGTGCGAGATTTTTGGCGGCACTTTCTCGAATGTATGGCCCTAAAACTAGACGTAGAACGAGGCAGACGTTTGCAGAAGTTCTGAAGAGAAAGTGTCGAAAATGTCCGCAGAACTCGAAAAGACACGACGAGCATTTTTTAAGCATCCCTTCATGGAGTGCGAATCCGAGGAGCAGGTGCCGAAGAAACGATCGCCGAGCGACTTGTACCGAAATTGCCGGCGATTTCGCGTGCGGGATTTTTGGCGGCACTTTCTCGAATGTATGGCCCTAAAACTAGACGTAGAACGAGGCAGACGTTTGCAGAAGTTCTGAAGAGAAAGTGTCGAAAATGTCCGCGAAATTCGAAAAGACACGACGAGCATTTTTTAAGCATCCCTTCATGGAGTGCGAATTCGAGAAGCAGGTGCCGAAGAAACGATCGCCGCGCGACTTGTACTTGCCGGCGATTTCGCGTGCGGGATTTTTGGCGGCACTTTCTCGAATGTATGGCCCTAAAACTAGACGTAGAACGAGGCAGACGTTTGCAGAGGTCCTGGAGAGAAAGTGTCGAAAATACCGCGGTGCCCGTTCGCAGAAGGGTTGCCAGAGAAAGTGGCTTGTTTAGGGGGTTGTAAAGCCGCGAGCCGCGCGGCCATTCCGTCGCTTTCGTCGCCCCGTCGCAGGCAATCGGCGAAAGTCCCCGGAAGGTTTCTCCATTCCGGGGCGGTTTTTCGATTTTTTTTTTCTCCCCCGAGACGAGAAGGGATAAAAATATGGGGCGGAATGGAAGGCGCGAGGTGGCCGCGTCGATGCGACTCTTAACGACGGAATAACTCGGACGGAATGGCCGCCGTAACGGGGCGAAGACGCGTCCCGGGGATTCCGTCGAGTTTAGAGGGTCCTCTCGAGAATGCATCTCCTTTTCTCTCGGAAATGACAGACCCGGTTGACAGAGGCGACGGCCGCGACGTCGACCTCGATCCGACGCGCTCTTCGTCTTGCGGAACCGCGCGCGGCCTGCAAGCCATCAGCTCCCGGCGGAATGCTCCCGCAATAGCTCTTGAATTATGAAAAGGGCCGCCTACGAGAAAGTTGCGAGAAAGCCACGTTAACGCGACTTATTTCCAGCATTCCGCCTCCGGCCCGACGGAAACCGCACCGTCAAGCTTGACCCGACGTCGCGATTTTGGCTGAACTTTCCGTCATTAAGGCAAAGACTTCCGGACCGAATTCGACGCAGATTTGTCCACTGAACCGTGCATCTGGAAATCCTTGGGTCGAAGTGATGTGAGAATTTTGTGGGGAAGATTTTCTATGAAAAATTTTGCATGGCAAATTTCGGTACGGGGAATTTTGGGGAGGAAGAAAAAACGTAATGCGGCATTCACCGCCCGACGGAATATATCAAACGGAGAGCTCAAGAAATGAAACCAGAAGACTGGAAGAAAATTGTGGGAGCAAAATAGTACGACCTCGATCGATGCTCTTATCTGTACTTCTTCTACTAGAAAACTATTAATTAAATTCGGAACAATGTATTTTGCGGGGGAGGAAGATAACGCAAGGATGTTTACCGATGCCGATCTAGCCACTTTGAACTGACCTCTTTTCCACGCAGTGGAATGTACGTACAATGACAGCATTTATGACTTACGTGCTCGAAGAGATGACTCCTCGTTACGATATAACGAGTCCATGGCGAAAGTTCAGGAAAAATGGGAAGAATCGAAGAGATCGATAGCGCGGGTTATTAATTACGATTCAATGTAGGGAATAACAGCGAGAGAATAGAAAGCTTCGGATGATTTATCTCCTCGGTGATATCCGTCTCATGAACCGTTGTGTACATAATGTGCTTAATTAATTAACAAGAAAGTCAAATATTAAATTAACGATCGCACTCCTAATAAGGACACGAAAAGTAAAATACACTTCGTTAAATTTCCAACCACTCTTGAATTCGCCCGAACGTGTCGACATGGTTTACGAGCCCGAGATAAAGTGTCCACGGGGACTGCTTACAAAATATTTCTCAAAGAAATCATTGCACACCCACGTACCCTCCCTCGAGTCATAAAAAGTGGACCTCCCGACTTTCCGTTCCTGCTGAATTCGTGAATGGAAGGAGGCGGCCATCGTGGACCGCGAGGGATGCTGCGCCTCCGCTCCGGACGGAAGACGAAGTCGATCGGTATCGGTCGAGGGCGTCGAACGATAAAGAATGGACCCCCGATAAATTGAGCAACGGGCCGTCGCACTTGCCGAGATTTGCATAAGGCGGCCGTAACTTATCTCGGTCCTCGCGATTCGGCCGAAAGATCTTCGAATTTATGCAACGCGGCTGCCAGCTGCTAAATTGGCGAGCTTAAAGAGCCGCGGCGCAACCTCCTCGGTTGTCCCTCGGGAAAGGTCCGGCGCGTTAATGCTACCGCACGTTGGAGTCCTTGAGGATAAATTTCTGCCCGTTAAGCGGCCCCTCTCCCCGCCATACTTTCCGATCGACTCGCGAAGACGAAAGGTCTTCTTCAGCGGCGGATCCAGAGGGCGCTTAATCCGCTTTCGAGGGTCACCGGGGGCCGTAACTCCCTGCCGAATTATTACTCGAGACTCCATTGTAACGCACTGTAAACGGCCTCCACCGTGAACGCGACATCGGAGAATCCTCCCGAGGCCCCGGCATTGGCCAGTTTTATTTTTCCACCCGAGAAAAAGAGCGACAAAAGTCGCGAGTCTTCGCCGAACACCTCGACGTAAGGTGGAACCAAGATGGCCGCCGGTCCCCGCCGCGCACAAGGAAAGCCTCGGGATTTCTACGTTAATCGACTAAAAATACAGAAGTATAATGATGAATTAATTCCTAAAGAATATTTCCTGACCGCGTACTTGGATTTCCAGCTCGAACCCACGGGGAGAGAAAGTATTTCAGGAATTCCTAGAGAGTTCCCGGCGCCAGGTTGGCAGAAATTACTATGCGGCAGGGCACTCTCGTAAAGCACTAGGTGTCCTCGACAACTAGCCAGGTCTCGCAGGGTCCACTGCCCCTTGCATTCCTTGTAACGCGATACCGACTAAATAAAGCTTAATTTAATGTACACCTCTTCGCCTTGAACATGGGGTATACGTTCCATGAGTCTCCTTTTTAATTCGGCCTTGGAGTCATCGCGGGGTTCCCCCATCCACCGTGCCGGAAACGAAGGGGGATCGAATGATCTTCTTAGAATCATCGGTTCGGTAATTAGCTGTTCGCACGGTGGCATAACTCTCGACCGACCCTGCGAGCCAGCGGGTCCGGATTTGAATTTATAGGTCCAAATTATAGGAGGCAGATAAAATAAATTAGGCTCGTTTTATCGGCCTTCGTATGCATTATTTATGTGACTCGCGGGTGTACGTCTTCTTTTCTGTTTCTTTTCTTTTTTTTTTACGGGCCCGCCGAGCCGTCTCTCTCTCTCTCTCTCCTTAGTTAAAGAGTCGGAGGCATCCTGGTCCCTATCGGGAACGCCATCTCTACTCGGGAGCAGGAGAGATCCTCGAGATTGGCTCTCTGGACCAATAATTGGATCGAACCAGCGGGTGGTCCACAACTAAGAGCTTGTTTAAACAGTCTGCCTCCACCTCCGATTTTAAAAATCGGTCTATTTTATCCCGATCGACGGATGTAGGGAAAAATTCTCTGCCGAATAAAAACCCACTAAAATCGTCGCCGCAATTCTCGACCGCAGCCATGTCGCCATGTGACCGGACCTCGACAATTTCTATCGCCTCTCTCGCTCTCGTGTTTACTTTTGTTCTTTATCCTTTATTCTTTATTCCCGCCCTCGAGATGATAGGTCGTCTCCCCCTCGAGGTTCAATGACAAGATAAGGCGGCAATCAGGAGCAATTGTCTGAACGCGTGGACGTCGTGATGACGGCGACCAGGCATTTGTGCGACGCTGAAAGACATCTGCGAAAGGCTCAAAACCTGGCCTCGGTTCCATCAATAATGACCGGATGAACGATCTATGAAAAACTGAGACCTCACTCGCGTTATAAAAAATTTTCAACCTGCTCGAATTTCTGTCTCATTTCCAGAGGGACTTTTCGTGCGCCGGAGCTGTTTATGAAATTAATTGGGACTTGTCTTAATGGGTGCCTGGGGTATTGGATATTTTTTTAAAGATCGTTTAATTACTTTCTGGGGAAAACAAAAGAAATTTTGGTGTTGGACGTGGTTTTTACCTTGAAATGCTTGGGTTGGGATGCTGGAGAAGTTTCATGGCCAAGCTCGTCTCCGGCGCGAGACGGCATCGATCGATCTCAGGGACCTTTACGCGCAAACAAGCTCGTATAACCAAGGTTAAACGTCGCTCAATTTCTAACCTGAATGAGAAATATCGCCCGTCGTACAC